ACTAGCGATGGCCTCCAACCCACTAGCGATGGCCTCCAACCTACTAGCGATGACCTCCAACCTAAACCTACTAGCGATGGCCTCCAACCTAATAGCGATGGCCTCCAACCCCCTAGCGATGGCCTCCAACCCACTAGCGCTGGCCTCCAACCCACTAGCGATGACCTCCAACCTACCAGCGATGGCCTCCAACCTAGTAGTGATGGCCTCCAACCTAGTAGCGATGGCCTCCAACCTAATAGCGATGACCTCCAACCTAGAAGCGATGTTCTCCGAGCTAGTAGTGGCCTCCAACCTAAATAGCGAAGGCCTCCAACCTAATAGCGATGGCCTCTAACCTAGTAGCGATGGTCTCCAACCTAGTAGCGATGGCCTCCAACCTAATAGCGATGGCCTCCTATACTGTTGGCCTCCAACGTAATAGGGATGCCTGATAGGTATGGCCTCCAACCTAATAGCGATGGCCTCCAACCTACTAGCGGCCTAGAATCATGTCTATAGAACTGTGCTTAAGAGAGAAAAGTCATGAAAAGTCATGAACAGTCATTATAACGCATTAGCTCATTGGAGCTTTTTGGCAATGTTTTTAAACTACGATTTTTTTGGCCACCACCAAGGCTTTGATCCCAAAGTGGATGCCTGGGAGGCAATTGGTCCGTTGCAGCTGTGGATTTGTCTCACGTTCCACAGTTATTTTTCTATTTTTTTTTCCGTCGGAGCTGTGTACGTACTCTCAGCTGCAGATGAAAGGGTTGCTTTTCTGACCCTTCGCCCTTGACCATTGGAACGCCGTTGCGCTACAGTTTTGCTTGGCATGGCTTTCAACAAGGTTTGAAAACCGGTTTGAATCGTGATGCGATTGCATATTCAACGATTCAACAACTGGCAGCCTCTGTTTTGCGTGAGCATACGTCCGCCTGACTCCTCTGTTGCAGGCGTTGCCTCCCATGCTCTCCAGGCGTGTGGGTGCAGCGGTACGATCCTTAAAAACAGAGCCGAAAACTCTTGAGATTTTCATTTGGTTGAGCCACTGTCACTGTGGTGTTCTGGCATGCCATTAGTTCTCACAGAGTCTCAAAACGGACGCCATTTTTTTAGGCTGCCGCTGTAGCTGGTTGCTTTTATGTTTGCGGTGGTTGGGACGGACGCCAGTCTCAGCCTCAGGTGCGACTGTGAGTCGTAACTAATAATGGCTTTAAAGTGCTGATTCACTGTTTTCCCTTTTCCCAGACAGGGTCTGAAGGTCCACAAACGAAAAGAAGTCCGGACAGCAAGAAAACACCAGACACAGAAGAAAAGGAACGAATGAACATTGAATGTTGGACACATTTGTTCCCTTTTTTCCTTTCTTGTTGGATGTCTCTCGTCCGAGGCGCCTTGCGTCCGCTGAGCGTTTCAACCCGAGCAGTGGGGTCTGGGAAGCACTTCCGCCCATGAACGAACGCCGTGACCGCGCGGCCGTGGCCACCATCGCAGATCGGCTTTATGCTCCATGGCTGATGGCATTGGAGATCTCTTGAAGGAGGGAAGGCTACCTTTCATGTTTGATCATGACAGGCACAAAAGCAAATCCGATGTGTTTGGATGTGTGTGATATGAGCAGAGCACAGGAGCCTGCAAAAGAACTCGGGATGAGCTGAGACAACTGAGGTCTGTGGGGGCTTCAATGGTGATTCTGATCTCAGGATCGAGTTCCGGTTCTCTTTCATTGCAATTGTTTTGCTCTTGAATCTTTGTATTGACATCTCCTTTTTCTCTAGGAGTGCGGAGTGTTTTGATCCCGCTTCTGGGGCCTGGCTCACCCTGCCTCCTATGCAAGAGAGGTGCACGAGCATTGCGCGAGCTCCAGTGTTTCGAGGTTTGTCAGATAGGCTCCCACCCAACAGGGCAACGTTTCTGAGAAAGTGTCCGTTTCTTGCGCTGGAATACTCCTAGCACCCTCTTGTTAGGTAGCAGTTCGCAGCATTTCTTGAAGCAAGAAAATTGGGACTCAGTTGATATGCCAGGCGATCCAGTGCTGTTGCCGTCGCAGCGCTTGCATAGTTTGGTCAAAAAGAGCCGGCAGAAGCCTAGCTGTAAGCTGTTCTGCATTCAGAATCCGCCACCAATTGCTATGATGTGGGAAGCTTTGCTCGTTTAGGCTTTAGACTCTAGAAACTGGAGATCACTTAGGGACTTGGGGATCAACAGTTGATTTTTTTGCACGATTCGGTGACTTTTTTGCTTTTTTGTTGCTACTAGTAACAAGTGCCACGCTAGTAGTAACAAGTGCCTTACTAGTAGTAACAAGGACGCTAGTAGTAACAAGTGCATCGCTACTAGTAACAAGTGCCACGCTACTAGTAACAAGAAACTATTAGCCGCCTTAGCCCTGACTATGATCACTTGACTTTTTCTATGTCGCCATGAATGCCTTTGCCCTGAGCGGGTCATCCGGCTGCACAGCCAATCCAGTTCCCGTACGCATAGGACAGCCGCATGCTTTGCAATAACAAAATTGCTTAGTTTCTATCTCAAGTCTTAGGGAGGACCTTCACGCTGTCCTCAAAGGTTTCTTGCAGAGAAGCTCTGAAACCTGTCTGGAGGATTTACTGGTCGCTGTCAACTTGCGGGACATGCTCCCGCAAGACGTGCTGAAGGAGTGGATTTGCTTTCCTGATTTCTACACCACTCCTGGTTTTCTTTGTTGCTCGGGTTCGATTGAGAGGTCGTCGGAGCACTTTTCTGGCCTTGGCTATCCTGTGGAAGCTCGAACTTCAGATCACTTGAGTCATACATCCCTGAATTAGGAGGATATTTTCTTATTTGTTTTCTTATTTATTTTCCTTTTCTTTTCACTCACTTGAAGCTTTGCCTTTTTGCCAAACTAACTTGAGGTCCTCAAGAAGGCGACTCAATGCTGCTCGCAGCTCTGGCAAAGGAGCAGGTAGTCGGGGATGCCTGTGACATTTCACATGTGGGCAGGTTGGAGGCCATCGCATCTAGGTCGGTTGGAGGCCATCGCTTCTAGGTTGGAGGCCATCGCAATTAGGTTCCTTTTGCTAGTAGGTTGGGGCCATTGCTGTTAGGTTGGAGGCCAAGGTATGCACTTTGATGCCAGGAGAGCTTGTAGAGCAAGTACGTGACACGTTACGAAGGTATGGGCAGCCACTGCAGACACTTGTCCAAAAAGCTTATTCATTGTTCGTTGAGTTTTTGCCATACAACGGCGAGCTGTATTTTCTTTGGTCTTCGTCATCTCTCATTTCTAAAAGGCTCTCCGTCTTGGGCTCTGCTGTGGACTGGACTGCCGAGCAGCGTGCGAAGTATGGGCGGCTAGCTAGCTTCCTGCGCCGCCAGCCGGAGCTGTGGCTGCAACTCGGCACGTCAGTTAGAGGGAAACGTAGATCGTTTCCTATCCTTGATATGGCCTCAGTATAATTTTGTGTGATTAGTCTGACTGCATCAGTGACAAGGGTTTCATGGGAAGGGTTCTGATCATCCTTGGGAGGATCTTGGGAACGAACATTCCACGTGGGTTAACACCATGGAAGTTTGCTTGGACCGAATGATAATGATAAGCTGTTCAATGTTTCAGCAGTTTCTTTGTTCCCCAAATATATAGTGCTCCGCACTAAGGGGTTCTTACGGTAAGAGTTAAGCGGCTTTAGATCAGGGTTCGCGCGTGTGGCCCCGGCATTTTGCGTGGGCCGGCTCGCACAAAAGTTACTTTTTGAATTCCTCATGTCCATTTCGACTGCGCAGGCTTGCATAAAGTGGGGGCCGCGGTCTTCGTGCTTGCGGGACAAAGCTCTCGTGCAGGTGCCGCGCTCGTTTTCGGACCTGAAGTGAATTTCGCGTGGCAGGCGCAAGGAATTCGACACATTGGAGCCTCGAAAAGGTGATTTTACGTGGCAGGTGCAAGGAATCGGAGACTTTGCAAATTTCGTGGCAGGCGCAGTGTTTTGTGGACGTTGCAAAAACGTTGGCAGGCGTGTGTCATTCGCAGGACTGCGTTTCACGTGGCAGGCGCAGGGAATCCGCACCATGGATGCGATATTTTGAGGTGAAACGGCTGAATTCGTGGTCGCATTTTTGGACTTTGACCTTGAGGATGATTTTGCGTGGCCAGTGCAGCATTTCGTATGACCTGCAGGCATGATTTCGTGGCAGGCACAGCATTTCTGAAACGCATTTTAAAATTTGCGAAAGCCTCGTGCAATTTGCTCATTTTGGATCTCCGATGTGCAGAGCTCGTGGCAGGCGCAGCACTTTGTGAATCTCGATGTGCAGATTTCGTGGCAGGCGCAGCACTTTGTGAATCTCGATGTGCAGATGTCGTGGCAGGCGCAGTACATTGTGAAGCTGGATGTGCAGATTTCGTGGCAGGCGCAGTACTTTGTGAATCTCGATGTGCAGATTTCGTGGCAGGCGCAGCACTTTGTGAATCTCGATGTGCAGATGTCGTGGCAGGCGCAGTACTTTGTGAAGCTGGATGTGCAGATTTCGTGGCAGGCGCAGTACTTTGTGAACCTCGATGTGCAGAGTTCGTGGCAGGCGCAGTACTTTGTGAACCTCGATGTGCAGATTTCGTGGCAGGCGCGGTACATTGAAAACTTCGAAATGCTCCTATGTACTCGCCTATGTGCTCTCAGATTTGTGCTTGTATGTGCTCTCACATTTGTGCTCTCAGATGTGTGCCCTCATATGTGCTCCCATATGCTCTCATATGTGTGCTCTCATTTGTGCTCGTGAATCTCGATGTGCAGATGTTCTTGAAGGGTGTTTGAATTTCAATGAACTTGCCATGTTCCATCTGTTCCTCTTTACACTATTTGGGGTCCCTTGCCGGTGGAATTTAATCTCTTTCTTTGGACTCCTCTTGCACTCAGTAGATGTTTGTGAGTGTGTGTGTCTGTCTGTTTGAGAATTGCATTTTGCCGTGCTATTGGGCCGTTGTTGGATCTTTTGAAATTGTTTGGCATGCTTTGGATGGTTGTTATAAATGCTTCAGGTTTCTGAATATCACAGAACAGAGGCAAAAGAAAGACAGTGAAACTGAATGTTGGGAGTTGTATGTGACAAGTAGCCAGTTCATCAGTAACCTTGGGGGTGACGCCTACATATATCATCGTACATATATTTACATTGTTTTTCCCCAATAGCCATGCTATGGGGTCTTGCAAAACTAATAAGCGGACGGGCGCCTTCGGGTCACCGTCAGAGCTGGTGGGCGGATGGTGTCCCGGTCATGTGATGCTGGGGTGTTGTGATGGTGTCCCAGTCATGTTGTGACGGTGTCCCGGTCATGTTGAGACGGTGTCCCGGTCATGTTGTGCTGGTGTCCCGGTCATTATGTGATGGTGTCCTGATCATGTTTTGGCGGTGTGCCGTTTGTTTTGATGGTGTCCGGGTCATGTGACGGTGTCCCGGTCATGTTGTGAGGGTGTCCCGGTTATGTGATGATGGTGTCCAAGGAGGAGATGGTCGACGTGTTGAAAACAGCAGCTGTTTCCAGATTTTGCTTTTTGTGCCGGTCTGTATCTGGCTATTGGGGCTCCAGCTGGGCTAATTTGTTATTCGATTGACACCTTTGTCGGAGGTCCGGTGGCTTCGTCGGTGAGACCACCCTTCGCCCGGGAGCTCGGGGAGACCGCGACGAGCGTCTCTCGAGGCTCGGGTCGAGACGAGCGACACATCCCAGGCGATTGGCATCCGCGAGAGCGATGTCCACCGAGACCACTGCACGAGCTGCGAGTCTTGGAGTTCTTCTCCGGCATTGGAGGGTTTCGAGCGGCCTTCCAGCAAGCATGTGGATTGGCAGGACAGCTCGCGTCTGGCAGCTTGAAGTTGGCCGAACACAGACACAAACAACACTTGGCACTTCACGAGATTTTCATGCATATCTTTGGCATAGCGAGGCCATTTTGCATCAGGACACGATGGAGACTCGATGTCTGAATGGGTCAACGTCGAGTCATCGCCGCTGGCCAATGAGGCGACGACGGTTTTGGGTTGCACTGCTTCAGCTAGCTGGAGTGCAGCCTCAAAGACTTCAAAAGATTGTTTTTTGCAATGATTTTGACGTTCGAATTGGCCAGGTGTACAGCTGTAACTTCAATGTCCCCTATGGACCCTTGCTGCCCAAGGATATTCGCAGAGTTGCAAAATCAGAGGTGCAGGACACTTGGTCACTGCTTTCCACGTTTCTGGAGTTTTTGCAGCAGTTTGCGTCGGTTCCAGTGATGCACATTGTGCATCTTTGTGCAGGTGGAGGGAGCAGATCTTTGGTTGATGTCTCCGCCATGTCAGCCGTACACGCGCATGGGTCTACGTCGTGACCTGGAGGACGGTCGTGCCAAGCCTTTGCAACACTTGGCTCAGCTGCTGCCAACGTTGGAAAGACCGCCAGAGGCGGTGTGGAGATCGATCGGTTGGAAGTGATTGGCCGACTGGGGTTTCTCCATTGATGTTTGCAGGCGGTCCTGCTAGAGAACGTGGTTGGTGTCCTTCTCAAAAGAGCAAGCTGTGTCAAAACATGTCGTTATGCGCCAAAAACATGTCGTTCTTTGGTTGAGGATTCGAGAACTCGGCCTCTTTTGAGCTGATCTCTGAGGCAAATTCTGAAGAAAACTGAAGAAACAACACCAACTGGGCCATTTTTCAGACAGATTTATTTGCATGCCACGCTTACACCTTCGGGTCCGTTCTTTTAGGCACTATGTCGGGCTGGACTGGAGGTGCGGCATTTCAGCCTGAGCCCTTTACAACTTGGCGCCTTGGAGAAGATTGGAACTCGCGTTTGCTTTGAAGAAAAGTCCGCAGCATTTGCATGAAGTGCCTTGGTGAGCCTTGGTCCTTCTTCCAAGCATGGGTTTAAACAACGGGTTGAAGGATTCTTGAGGGTCTTGAGTTTCTGGAACGTCCTATATTGAACCCATGCTGCTTGGTCGCTTTTGAAAGCATGGAACATGGTCCGGTGAATCTGGAAAGCTGCCTTCGCGTTCGCCTTCGAAAGCAATAGCGAGAGAGCGACACACCATTCCAGGCATTCCGAACCGGAGACCTCGGATTTACCTCATGGCCTTTCAGTCAGAACAACCTCGTGTGCACCCTTTGGAAACAGTGACTCGACAGGAAACGATGTTGTTTTTAGTCTGAGGACTCAGTAGGTTGGAGGCCATCCCTAGTGGTAAAACCTACCGAAACGCGCTTGAGCAGTGCTCCCAGGAATTCCCGGGACTTCTGGAATCTCCAGAGAATCGGCAGTTATCTGAGTACTTGCAACTGCAGAAGGCTAGGATGTCCCTCACAGTGTTTGTGCATCCTGCGATTTCTTTCATGTGGGTATATGTCTGTATGTGGCAAGAGAGTCTCGAGCTTATTCTTGCAGTTCACACACTGAAATTGATTCTCACCACCGTGATTCCTCCCTTTCAGGAGCATCAAAGTGTGCCAGAGCGACTGCTAGATCTTCTCTGGGAGAAAGGGCAAAGATGGGAGGTCCCATTGAGAGAAAGAGCCAGACGTCAACTACCAAACTGTGTAGGACGCGTAGTTGGCTGCAAGAGCTGGATTTAATGTTACATTTAGAACCAAGCTAAGGTATGAGCCATAGCAGCTACAGGCTATAAGATAGCTTAGCTTTTCATAGCATGATGATGCATGGCTTCTCATGCTTCCTTTGGAGGTTGTCACTCCAAACAGCACGAGCTCATCCACTTTTACGTCAGGAGACATTTCTTCCTATTGTAAGCGAATCATGCTCCGGTTCCAAGTTTCTCGATGGTTCCTGTTTCTAGAGGGATCCCCTGCCAGGATACACTACGCCCTGCTTTGATGCTCACCGCTTCGGGCCTCTGCTCGCTACAGATGCTGAAGGCCTAGTGTGTTTGGATTAAAACATGCCAAAAACAAAAGGCACCAAAGGCATCAAGCTTTGAGGCCTTTCCGGGAGTTTGCAACAACAGACGTGAGGAATCCTAAGACCGACAAAAATTGGACACCTCACATATATAGATTCATCCAAACTCATCCAAGATTGAAAGCTACTAGGAACAAGGGGCATCGCTACTAGTAGCAAGGACGCTACTAGGGGCTCCTGGCCATACTACTAGGAACAAGGACGCTACTAGGAGCAAAGGGCATCGCTACTAGGAACAAGGACGCTACTAGGAGCAAAGGGCATCGCTACTAGGAACAAGGACGCTACTAGGAGCAAAGGGCATCGCTACTAGGAACAAGGACGCTACTAGGAGCAAAGGGTATCGCTACTAGGAACAAGGACGCTACTAGGAGCAAAGGGCACCGCTACTAGGAACAATCTATATATGTGGAAGCAAGTTTTTCGAGGCCGCCCCGAATTGGAGCCACGACACCTGCCCGGTGGTCGTGTCCAACGGCTGGTTGCACCAGGAGAGGATGTGAGGCGCTCCAGCCCGACGGTTTGACGTCAAAGCCATTGGACGAAATAAAGCCTTGAAGATCAACCCCTTGTTTGGGACTTCTTTCTTTCGTTCTTTCTTTCTTTCTTTCTTTCTTTCTTTCTTTCTTCATTTTGGCTCAATCGCATGAGGAAAGAAAGGACGCTAGGGGGAAGCATTACAATGTAGGATGCGGACCGGAGATTTGTGGACTTGGTCGACCCATCCGGTTGTCCGTCGTGGAACTAGCGCCACTTTTGGTGGTGCGCCAATTAGTTACTAGTTAGTAGCCTTCTTGTTACTAGTAAGGCCAGGAGCCCCCAGTAGCGTCCTTGCGCTTAGTAGCGATGCGCTTTGCTCCTAGTAGCTTCTTGTTGCCGGACTCCAGGTACTTCACCCCGCTGGAGCTCTTGCAAATCCACGGCTTTCCAAAGAGTTTTCACTTCCCGGAGACGGTGACCGAACACCAGCGCTGCTCAAAAGCGAAGCGGAGTCGAACATCGTATGTTGGAACTTTCAGTTGAAAAACATTTCCAGTTATCAGAGTCAACGGCTTCCATTGACATGTCCCTGTCCTATCACATCAGAAATGGATAGTTGCCATAGTTGCCGAACCGATTGTTGATTTCAAGAATTTATAAAGAAAGGTGCTTCGATTAACACATTTGGACGATTTTGGACGAAGCTGTGCGTCCTTTCAATGGTTTGGGAGAATTGCCCTTAAGCAAAAAAAAACAACACACATATATACAGATTGTGCCCCTGGTACTATAGTAAATGTCTGGTCAGCGGGACGAACAACGTGGCCATTTTGGGTCAAGTCCCGCACTCGAACGGTCCTCCCCTGAATTTAAAATCAGCGGGGGGATGTCAGTTCCAGTGTGGGTACAAGGAAGGCCCCAAGCCGGCAGGCCTGTGACCATTTTCGACCCCCCACGAGGACGCGGTCGAAGCGGCAGCCGGGGGAGAGGACCCGGCTCGAAGAGGATCGATGCGGTCTCCCCCAGGAAGGACCGGGCAAAGCTTGGCAAGACGAGCGGACTGTTTGCTGCCGGTGCTTGGTCCGCCAGGGAGGAGATCGCAAGGATGATCGAGAGCGGGGTCCCTTCGAGCGAGATCCTGGAAGCTATCCGGAGCGGCTCGGAAGGCGATCGACCCTTGGAGTTCCAAGGAGAGTTAGGCGACGCGGAAGACACCGCAGTGAAATCCCAGTCGGAGGAGCGGCCACCTGAGAGTTCCCGGATGGGCCCTCCAGGATGGGCATCGGAAAAGAAGGCGGAGAAGCCCTCTAGGGTGCCCGCAGGTTCAGAGGGTTCTTCTTCCGCCGCTTCTACGCCACATCTCTCATCAGATCGCTCTTCCCGGGATGCGCCCACCTGGGCGCTCGGGGCAGCGCACTCGCCCCTTGGCTTCGTCAAGAAGGCCAGCAATCCAACCCCTCCAGCTCCGCAGGTGCGAGTGAAGGAGGAGGAGACGGAAGAGAAGCCAGGACCATCGTCAGGTGCCGGAGCGGTGGAGCCGGAGTTGGACCCGGAGCAAGTCGCTAGGGGACTGGGAGAAGTCGGAATCTTCGGAGAGTTCTCCAAGAAGGCAGGCCGGCCTCCAGACCCAGAAGCCCGGACTTCCCAGACAGTGCCGTATGTCCCTTTGAGCCTGCCTCGTAGGAGCCGCCCCCTCGAGGAAACCAAACTCGAGGAGTTCAGGAAGCTTGCAACCCACCTTTTCGAGGAGCTCGTGATCCATGAGGTGGAGATGGACCTAGTGGAGGCAGTGAGCTCGAAAGAAGGGATCATCGACTATGCACTCTTCCATAAGTACACTGATCCCAAGTCGGCTGGCACAGCTCTTCGGTATGCTCGCCTCTTGGAGCGGTATGTCCAGGCCTACGAGATCAAACACGGAGCTCCCTCGGTCACCGGGCCCAAGATCATGGGGCTAGAGGCCATACAGGCATTCGTCATCAGCATGATCGAAGAGGGAGTGGGATTCTATACCCCTCGGAGCTTCCTCTACGCCGTTGAGTACTTCGGCGGCCTCTTTGGGTACCACTCACCAGGCTCTGCGCACCCCCGCGTCCGAAGGCTTTGTTCCGATTACGTTGGCAAGTCACCGGAACGGAAACCTGCACCTTTCTTCGAGATCCGTTTTCTGAGCTGGCTGGAGAAGGTGGTGTTGGATGAAAGCCGGGACTTGCAGACGCGCATTGCTTGCGGCAAGCTTCGTTTGCGCTCCCAATCCAGCATTCGTCACTCGGACCTGGCAGGAACCGCCATGAGAGATGTTGAGTGGTGCCGGGTGGTTGGCAGCGCGGGAGTATTGGGACTTCGAGCGAAAGCTGCATACACTAAGTCCGGCCCCAGGACATGGGCGGCAAGCCTACTGGGAGTGCATCCGGACAATGACAAGTGGTTGATCAGGTGGGTGGAGCTCCTACTGGTGATGCACGGCCACGACTGGCGCACCCACACGTTCGTTGGCAGGGCGGCCGGGAAGACGGAGGGGTGGGAGATGTACCCCCCTCTGATCTCGGAAGACACCTTGACGGTGAAAAACGCCCTCCTGGCCGACATAGATGGGGGGAATCCGCACATCATGCCCAGGGAGCAGGCACTACGCCTGAGGTGGCACAGCTGCAAATCCACCAATCCACCATGCCGACCTACATGACCCACTTCAAAGTCACCACCAGAACGGTGAGGTTCCAGGGAGCCTGGAAAGATCCTTCGGAGCTCATGCCCGATTTGTATCTCCGCGAGTCTCAGATTCTGGTCCTAAAGGCACAGATAGAGGTGTTAGACCAGATCCGCCGTGGAGCAGTCATTCAGACCCTGGAGGGCCGGGAGTTAGACAGCATGCAACAGCCCGATTGGGCCACGGTCGAAACCCTCATTGAGGAGGACAGGCTACCTAAGTCCGGCGGGGCGATTTTGGGCGTGGAAGCCATGACGCGCGCCGTCGTATGCACGGAGGATCAACAGGGAGAACGCCAGATCAGCGGAGACTGTGCGGTCCCTGTCACCGAACTCCCACCTGCGCTGCGGGGCGCGGGAGCTGAAGACCTGGAGGAGCTTGAGGTGACCCTGGAGAAGGAGAAGGAGACCAAGACGAAACACTACCGGGATCATCCGCTGGAGCAAGTTGAGACCACACCCAACGGAGTTGAGCTGGGGCCGGACTCCGACGACAGCGAAGGCGATCCAGCGGCTCCCGATTTGGAGATGCACCATACTTTTGTGCAGCTGGCCTCAGGAGCGGGGAGGATTCACAAACCTTCTCCGCGAGATGAGGGCCTACCGAAGTGTGGGAGCCAGGGATCAAGGTTCGCAGAACTGCAAGTGGACCACAGCTGGGGCGTGGACTATAAGCTCTGCAATAAGTGCTTCGGAAAGAACGCAGAGTCATCCACGTGCCCCTTGCTGTGTGACTTCGTGCTGGTGAAGGGCGGCCGGGCTGTCCTTCGCTGCGGGCGGCGATGCAGGGGCGATCAAGTACAAGGACACCTGAACCCGAGTGAGCCAGGCTTCGACCTCTCGAGTAGGCACAGGTGCACCCTGCACAGTGAAGAGGTGCTAGAGGACGACATTTGAATCTGTGGACCGATACGATGCAAAAATTCGGGTGCCAGGGCGATTGTTTAAACCATGTAGCCATGCAACCCAGTTCGCAAGATTTCATGCAATGCTGGAGTTTCCATTGGGGATCCATGTCCTTTCGTATGGACGTGATGGGTGCACCTCTATTGTAGACGTATGTGCCGATGCCCCAATGAGTGGATCAAACACCCCCCCCGGAGTCCCGGAGTTCCTGCCGAGATGGCGGATGCAAAGTCGACTCTGGCCTTCGGACGAGCCGCGGTGAGCTTCGAGGTCCATGAGAGTGACTTTTTGGTCATGGCCGCAGACAAGATAAGCACCTTCGAGGCCATGGCATACCGACTCCCGTCCAACGCTGATCTTGAGGACTACCTCAAGAAGGTGCTGCGGAAGAGGGGAGGGTACCGCGACGAGAACGACGAGATCGTGGTTTACGACAAGCCGGTGATCCTCTCATGGGAGGACTACAAGTCCGAGCCAGACACAGGCTGCCTTCGAAAGCTCTGGGGGCTGGCCACGCAAGTGGCCAAACGCCATCTGGAGAGATTGGCCGGAGAAGAGGGCGAAGGGAAGTCCAAGATTACCCTGGCCTATGCCCAGGAGCTGGAGGACAAGGCGGTTGAGACCAACATGCCTGAAGCTAGGTCCGACAGGGAAAGGCCTTCGCTCCACACGCTCTCCAAAGTGCAGGCGACCTTCATGCCGAACGGGGCGTTCCAGCACCTTGCTTGGGAGTCGTACGTGTCGATGGAGGTTGAATCAAGGTTGAGGCGAGCTGGAAGGTTGCCAAAAGACAAGAAGGAGCTCGTGGTCGATGGCAAGAACTTGAAGATGACCGACACGGACGTCGAGTTCCCGGAGACGGTCGTGGTCGACAACCTCGTGGCGCTGCAGGATCTCTTCGAGTTGAGAGCCAGGGCTTTTCACATCCTAGATGTCTGCAAGTACGACGTAGTGAAAGCATATGGGGGGAGGATCATCGCCAGCCTGCGTGGAGTCACGGCAGAGGGCATGAGGAATCCCACAATGAATGAGGCGCGTCGTGCGGACAGGGAGATTTTTGGAGAGATCCTGAAATGGGTGGCCAAGGGAAAAGGTTCTGTGGAGGCAGGCCTGAGCCACTACATCAGGGAGTTCGCCACAGAACCGCTGTAGAAGCTCCTCAGCCAGCAGCCAGAAGGCCACCCTGACCAAGGGAAGGAGAGGCCGTCGGCAAGCAAGCGCTCGGCTGAAGAGAAGAAGGGCACCAAGCGATCGCGCACCCCTGAGAGGCCCCACAAGGACAAGCAGGGCGACCCTCAGAGGCCCCGATTGTGCATCGTCTGCCGCAAGCACCACGAGCCGCGCTGCCAGATCCCTCCCGGATTTCGCGTGAGCAGAAGCGCAAGCGGGAGGAGGATCACAAGAAGGAGAAAGGGGGAAAGACGCCAAGAAATAGGGACAACTCCTCTCGGGAGTGCGAGCGGCCCGCGCTCCGGGAGGTGTAGAGTTTTTAAAGACAGAGAGCCTCCGACGAGAGGAGAAAAAGGTCGCTGAACCCTGGGATTTGTTGAGGGGAAGGGATGTTTTTCAACACTGTAAACAGCTCCACCGGGACCTCGGTACCTCAGACCTCCAGCACTGGGGTCCGAACTGCTGCACCTTTTCCCGAGCCCGTGAACGACCAATCCCAGGAGTCAAAAACCCCCCAACACCTCTCAGGAGCTCACATTTTCCAGAGGGTATTCCAGAGGTAATTGCCAAACTCCCTGTCTCCAAAAGACGTAAACTAGATTTGGATACGCAGATGGCCGACATGGCCGCTTTGAATTGCCTGGAGGCCAAGCGATCGGGGAAGTTCTTCACCCTGGAGCATCCGAGAAACTCCATTGCCAGAGACCTAGAGTCCTGGAGGAGGTTAGAGTCGGAAGAGGGGGTGTGGGCCACGGAATATCACTCGTGTATGTTTGAGGGGAGTGAGAGGAGGAAAGCCCAGGTCCTCATCCACAATATCCCCGCTTTGCATAGTAGTTTAAATTTGATTTGTAGTAGTAGCCGAGTCTGCGCACGCACAGGCAGACACCACCTGAGAAGGGGATGGTCACATCCTTTGCGACAGGCCTAGAAAGGGAGTACCCGGTGGGCTTCTGCGATGCATATGCGAAAGCAGTGTCAAACGACACACAAAGCCGCATCCACTCGTTCGTTGAAGTCTTCTCAGGCCCCAATGCACCCCTCTCATGTGCCCTCGCAAAAGCCTGGGGAGTCTATCCCCCAGTTCCTCCGGATACGGTGAGACCACCAGGACCGGAAGAGTCAGAACTGTCCACCGTGCAAATGGGAGAAGCGCAGCCCGTGCCTCAGATGTCGAGCGCCCCAGACGAAATCCCCACCGGAGCACCGGAGGGCGTGTTGATGGGGAAAGCCGGAGTAGAGAGTACGCGGTCGCGTGCGCAGGCCGTAGAGGCGGCCAAGCAACCCAGCTTCGGGAAGCGGCAGCAGCTTATACCTAACGGGTTAAATGACGCGAGGCTGCACTTGTGCCAAGCACGCAGGCTGAAACATCCTTTCTCCACAATGGAAACCCTAAAGAAAGATCACCTTGAGTGCCTGGATGCATTGCGGGAGGAACCCGCAGCGTTGACTCGTTTTCGGCTGGAACAGCTAGCGCGAGTCAGAAAACTCAAAGCAGAGCTCGAGGCTGAGCAGGCGAGCGCTAACGCCTCCGCGGCATGGACGGCCAAAAAGCTCAGTGTCCGGCCCAACACCTGTCTGATGAGTCGCCTGCAGACTCTTCTACACATCGAGGACACAGAAGTTCCGACTCTGTGCCTGGAAGGGATGCGCATTACGGGGAGGGCACATTTATCCCCTTTCTTCGAACCCTTTGAAGTCCGACCGTCCATGTCTCGAGAGAGTTTTCTCAACGGGTGTCAGGAACGCTCGTTGGCCATGATCGACAGAGTCCGACACATGGCCCAAAAAGGCCCCCCAGAGCTGGCTCAAGCCATCTGGGAGAAGACCCAACGTGAAGTGGCGGCAGGGACCATGGGACCAGCCCTCACACTAGATCAGGCTCATGCAAAGTACGGTGCTGAAGTTCAGGTCACCCCGAGTTTCGGCCTGGCTCAAGGCACCAAGTATCGTCGAATAGACGACCATACTGCATCGGGAGTAAACCAGATGGCACATCGTTTGCAGAAGGTGCCAATGACCATGGTCGATTACATCGGCGTCATGCTTCGTGCACTAGCAGCACATTTCCCGTCTGTCAAACTGGCAACGGAGGACATGAAATCCGCGTATCGGCAGATAGCTCTGCATCCAGCGGACGTCCGGTTCGCGATCACCGCAGTGTACGACCCAGTCAGTGATGTTGTCGCACTTCATGAGATGTACGGACAACCCTTTGGTGCCGGCCACTCAGTTCCCAACTTCTGTCGGGTCGCAGAGTGGATATCGCGTTGTTCAACCCGATTGTTTCACACCTTTTCAGATCACTTCTTCGACGACTTTTTCTGCCTGGAGCCTGCCTCCACTGTTGACTCCGCTATCTTTTGTATCAAGGCTCTCTTCGCAGAGCTTGGCTTTCAACTGGACCCTGACAAGTCGCAACCCCCCTCGGAGACTTGCGCAATCCTGGGCATCATGTTTTCTACCCAGAGTTTAGCGGCTGAGCGCAGGATTTTCTTGAAGGCCAAGCCGTCCAGAGTTACCAATCTCTGCGACACTATCAATCAGGTCCTGGACTCAGGGCAGCTATCGGCCGCCTCCGCAGCCAGTATTGTCGGGAAATTTGGTTTCCTGTGCTCCACAGTGTTCGGCAAAGTGGGAAGGTGCTGCACTGGCCCTTTGCGGGCGCGACAGTATACTCCCAACACAAATTTCAAGGCCTGACCCCTGATCTCAAATGGTCACTCCACATGATGCTTGCCTTCCTCAAAATGTGCCCATCACGCGAACTATTCCTCGTTGACCGCCCCCCAGTCATCTTGTATACAGATGCTTCAGACGTCCGGAGCGGTACTCATCATCCCGGAATCCCAGCAGCTGCTGTATTCCGCTCAGGAAGTTCCTCTCACTATGGTGGAATCCTGGCGTCCCCGGAAATCTTATATGGGACAATTGGAACTTGTTGCCCCACTCTGGGCCCTTGATCTCTGGGCCCCGCTC